AAGTATGATTACTGATAGATTTACTTTTACCATCTCATTTTATGCTTCCTGTTTACTTTCTCTATGCTTCTTCTTTTCCTGCCTTTAGACTGAATTGCTTATTGGTACGTTTGAAATGTACTTTGTTCACAATTAATAATTCATTTAAGAGATGCTTTTTAAAAAAAAAAAGATTTTATTTATTTGAGAGTGCGAGAGAGTAGGCACGAACAAGGAGAAAGGGCAAAGGGAGAGGAAGAAGCAGGCTCTGCGTCATGAGGCTCAATCCTCAGGACCCCGGGGATCCTGACCGAGCCAAAGGCAGACACTTAACTGGGCCACCCAGGCACCCCTAGGGATTCCTCTTACAATTTTAATATGCATGCACAAAGTATGAGCTTCATCAATAGGTTTTGGAACAGGGACGCCTGGGTGGCTCAGTGGTTGAGGCCAGCCTTTGGCTCAGGGTGGGGTCCCGGAGTCCCCGGATCGAGTCCCACATCAGGCTTCCCTCGAGGAGCCTGCTTCTTCTGTGTCTCTGCCTCTCTTCCTGTGTCTCTTCTCATTAATAAATAAAATCTTAAAAAAAAAAAAGTTTTGGAACAATACAAGAACTTGGTATCACAAATCCAAATATTTTAGTTCTACATTCATTTTACTGCCCTCCCACCCCCAAGTAGACATAAGTATTGGCTTAGATTTGTACATGCAGTGTTGGCTTAGATTTACCCACTGTAGTGAAGCCTGTTGGTGTCTCGCCTAGACCCCTTTTATTGGGCCATTAGACCTACTGCCTAGGCAGCAGTATTAGCTGCTGATGGCTTGATGGTTACACCATTATCCTGAGAATTGCTCTCAGCAAGACAGTGTATCCCTGGCCAAGACGTTACCCATCCTAACCCCTAAGGGCAGACTGCAACCAGTACCTGGCTGATAATGGGGATACAAAAAGCCAGCTCCCTTGCTACAATGGAGGACAATTCAGTGGACCACTATTAGTTTTCTATTGCTGCTGTTAACAAATGATCACACATACAGTGGCTTGAAACAACACAAATTTATTATCTTACAGCTGTGGAAATAAAAAGTCCAACATGGCTCCCACAGAACTAAAATCAAGGTGTAGGCAGGTCTATGTTCCTTGTTGGAGGTAATAAGGGAGAATGTGTGTTCTTGCCTTTCCTAGCTTCAAGAGGCCACCAGTATTCCTTGGCTCATGGCCCCTTTTCTCCATCTTCAAAGCCACAACATAGCACCAGTCTGATCATTCTTTCATAGGCACATCTCTTTCTCATACTTTCTTTTGCCTCCTTCTTCCTATCCTAAGGACTCTTGTGATAACACTGGGCACAGGATACCACAGAATAACCCTCTTGGAGATTGGCTGATTAGCAACTTTGATTACACCTGCAACCTTCATTCTCCTTTGCCACATAACCTAATGTACTCACAGGTTCAAGGGGATTCAGATATGAAGATCTTTGGGAGGCCATGATTCAGCCAGCCACAGTGCCCTTGAAGCTCCAGGGCTCTTTGCAGGTTCAGGCTAAGGTAGATTCCAGGTGAACCCATTATAAAAAGACCTATAGGAGGTTGTGTCCTTATTCACCAGTAAACAATATTCATCATAGCAATGTATAAAGCTTTATAGTCATGTAAGGAGTTGTTCCTACACGCATGCAAATAGGAAGGTGTTCTAGAACTAAATCCACATCTACCATAGTAGGAAGTCCGAGTCAAGTCATTTATCGTTATACAAAGTCTAAGAAATTTGGTTGTAGTAAATACCAAAAGAAACAACCACTATAGTTGAAACTTCTCTGGGGAAAGAGCCACGAAAATGGTAAAAGGTAGAGCAGAGAAGTGCTTCCTTTTTTAGAAGCCTGATTTGTAGTCAAATACTATTTGACTTCTTTAACTATATGTACATTATTTTTACAAAAACAACTTAAAAAATAAATTCAGTGAATGAAGCAAACCTATCACATTCCTATACCTAGTTCTAAAACAAACCTTTTGCTAACTACAAATTAACATGTACTCATCGTAAAGCCTTAAGAGGACATAAAAATGTTGAAAATACAACATGAACATCCTATACATATACCAAACTCTCAGGGATAGCCTCTATGAGGATCCGTGTGCATACATACTTATGCTCACAGGTTAAGAGTTTTTCAAAAAAGTGGGATCACACTGTTTGCAACCTGATTACATCACTAACGTGCGGATCTGTCCAGATCAATTTATACAGCTCTACCTTTCTCTTAATAATTGTACAAAATTCTGTCATTTGAATGTTCCATTAAAAGTAATAATATTTTTTAAAGTAATAATAATTTAACAAAACTCAGGAGACCTGAGGGTGGCAGGGAAGAGATAAGTCCATTTCCTCATCTTTAATTACAGGGAGTTAGCAAATATTATCGAAGGTGGGAAATAAGGACAGAAAAAAAAGTGTGATATTTAAAGTAATAAAGGCATTTACTAGAAACACTATATTAGCTATCAAAAAAAAAGAGAAAGTGGATGTGCACAGGATTTCTTAACTCTCAGAGTGGACATTCAATATATACTAGCCAAACTTAGACAATAAAATATAAAAATATATTAAAATGTATATAAAAAGAGCTTTTAATAATCATTGTCTCATAAAAAGGGATGAGTGGGCGCTTATATCTTTGTCATCATAAATGTACCTACCACTATAAAAAAGATATTCATAATATGTAACTGAAAATAGCTATTTATCAAACAGTACATAAACTATGCTCAATTTTTATACAAAATACATATAATGTGTTCACACATAGGTAGAAAAGACTCTAAAGGCTGTGTACCAAAATACAGACAATTTTCTCTAAGTCCATAATATTATGAACATTCTTTTTTTTATTATGAACATTCTATATATTCTTTATGCTGATACATTTTTCTCTAATGAGCATATTTCATTTATATTTAGAATAAGAAAACACATTAAAATTTTTTTTTTTGTGAGGGGGGGAAGTTTGGGGAGCACTATAAATAAAAAATAAAGATCAATCAAAATGTCCTTGAATTATATCTTCCAAAGCCTAGGCCACAAAATACCTGTATTCCATACACTCAACTACATCTCTGTTTTTATGTCCTCAAACATAAAAATTCCCGTTTTATTTTATTTATTTATTTAAATACCCATCTGAGACAAAGGCAGGCTGTCAGCTTTTCACTCCAACTAAGCCCCACCAAGTCATTTCTGATGGAGCCTCTGATTTACTGGACTGCTACCCAGAAAAAGCTTCCCATAGGTTGACACCAACTCTAGCACTGTAATATGCTTTCCACATATTCATTCACCCATTCACAACATTAACCAAATACCTACCTTGAGCAAAGCATTACACAGCATGTGTCACAAGTTAGAGATTGATTAACACAAATGACTGCCCCAAGTAGCATATAACCTTGTGGGGAGATGGTGCAGACATGAGGCCGAATAAAGGGCACTAACGCAGAAACGACAGTATGGAGAGCACGGGTATTATTTTGCATTTATATATAAACATTTTCAAACATATCAACGTATACTTGGAAATGTATAGGTAAAAATGAAGTGCCATCTTTCTCAGTTCTCATTCACGTTTGGACTCTGAAAAGTAGCTATCCCTAATACTTATTTGCCACTAATCATATGCCAGGTTCTCCTATACTATAACAGAGCTTTTATAGAGGATGATTCGAGCCCTTATTTGAGGGCAGACATTTTTGTGCCCCCACTTTCCTAGTGTATCAAGCACAGAGCAGACATTGTAAATATTTCCAAAATGAACTGACTGAGCCAGCTACTAGAGCTCCCCACAGTTGCCTACCCCACTGTAGTCAATGGAAGCATCACAAGGATAGGGTACATGGAAGCGTGGCCAAGGTTTTCTACCTAACATGGCATATTTTTCCCTCTGATTCCACAGAAATGGAAGGCTTGGCAAGGATGAAACAGAGAAAAGCTCAACGATAAAACAAGTATTTATAAGCAAAATTGCTTCGTATTAAGAAAGTCTGAGTTTTACTTAGCACTGTATCTGAGGCGCTAATGAGAGTAAAGGAAGAAGCTGAAGATCAATCCCCACGTTCAATTCTAAGGAGACTTGTGATAATGAAAGCACACAGATTGTAACCAATCCGGAATGTATGAAATGCCTCATGTTTACAATACACAAAATATATAATGGGGGCTTCCTATGGAAAGGAGATGGTCTGGATCCCTGCAGTCTTACAAATATGAAGACCCCAATATGTGTTGTTTTGCTGTTTTTCCAATTCTAACATAGAATTCTATGAATAAAATAAATAACACTGAGAGCTTTTCTGGGCACAGGAGCCTCTGAGAGAGCGTGAGGCAGCTTGGAAAAACAATCAACTGGCCTAGCGTTCAACATAATGTCACCAAAACCTGAAAGCCTTAGCACTTACATCTCAGATTAGATGAGACAGACAATTCTCTTTAAGCTACAATTTCATAGTGACAGAAAATCACTTTCAGATAGTAAATTCATACCATACTACTAAGGATTTTAAAGTTATTTTTACCTCTTTGTGATGAAGAAGGGGCCAAAATAATAATTAGGATTTTTAGAAATGAGAAAAGAGGTTCACTTAAGGTTAATAAAATCAATCAGTGACCCAGCTACATGTACCTTCAAAATAATTAGTTCTGCCCAGGCTGCCAAGATAAATAAATTAATTAAAGAAGCTTATACACAAGAAATTTTTATAACTATAGATATCAAGAGAGAGAGAGAGAGAGAGAGAGAGAGAGTGCTTTAGACATGAGTATTTCCTTAGAAAGGCCTTCCTTTAAGCTGTTTACTAAACTTACAGAAGCAAAGTAAGAATTGCAGAAAACCACCTAAAAACTGGTATTAAATCTGTTTAATATTTTTAATCATTCTATTACTTCTAAATTCTTCCACAAAAGGGCATTACAGTTCTTCAGTTTATTGCAAACATATCTTAAAAAAAAAAAGCCAACCGTAATATTGAAGCTATAATACAAATTTTTAATTACGGGCAATATACTATAAAGCAAAATGAAGAACATTTTATTTAAATAAAACAAGGATAATATTTCACTGGAAAATATATCCAACACATTTTCTTTCTCTATAGATCTACATCCAATGGTGGTATTTTATAGGCTAATTTCAAAACAAATGCAAATTTTTAAAAAATACATGAAAGGCATGTTTTGCTCAGGAATACTATTGTACACATACCATATGGGTTGTTTTTACAGCAGATACTAGTTTGCCAAACTTCAATGGCAAAACACTAAGCTGAGTTTAGTATTATCCACCTAGTTGTTTCTTGCTTCCCTGGATAATCTGGCGGTGAGTAATATTGAGAAACCACCTTGTTGCCACCATTTCTCTTCTTATAGGTGACTCCACTGTGATAGACATTCATCTTCTTAAGATGCAAGGCCTAGCAAAAAGCCTCCCACAAATCCACTGGATATCACAATGTTCTGTTTGATAAATTCTGTTGCCTGAAACACAAGTTAAAACAAAAATACTCTTAATTGTGCTACAACATGGATGAACCTTGAAAATGCTACACTAAGTGAAATAAGACAGAAAAGGGAAAACACTGCATGATTTCACGGACATGAATAGTGAAATTCATGGAGACAGAAAGTAGGACAGAGGCCAGCAAGGTCTGGGGAGAGGGGTCAATTGTGGGAATGTTTGCTTAATGGTTTGAGTTTCTGTTTGGGATGATGAAAAAGTTCTAGTATAGTGGTAATAGCTGCACAAAAGTGTTAATTCAGTACCTAGTGCTACTAAATTGTGCCATTTTAAAATAATTAAAATGGTCAATTTTCCATTAAGTGTATTTTGCCATAATAAGAAAAAGAAAAAAAATGAGGCAAATTAAAGAAAAACACTCTACTTATTAAATCTGGTGCTAAGTAACATCTCACAGCTGTTTTCCCCAATTCAATAAATATTTGGCAAAGATTCTTGTACACCTACTACTGCAGGTGCCAACCACCACACAAGATGCCAAGGCTGTCCATTATGATCTGAAGAAGCAGAGGGCCCCTGCCAGATCCAATAAGCTTCTTAGCTACTGAGATAATGTGTATATCAGTCACAAAAATCTCTCAGGTAACAAGAAGCTGTAGGGCAGACATAAATGGTCCATTTAGCAAGTTATTAACACAGATTTAATAAATTCCCACAGCAGGCACAATGATATTTGTTAACAGTCCACTTGGCCGGCAAGAAAAAATGTACAAGATCAAATAAATATCACCTTGGTAAAATGCTTACCCCAAATAAAACCATGAAAAAGCAATCAGACAAAGCCAGACTGTGGGGCCTTCTGCCTACATGCTTCAAAAACATTAGTATTATGAAAGATGGGGGGGAAAACAAAAACAAAAACGAAACACAGATGACGGGACTGCTAAACACTAAAGGAGACTTCAGAGACATGACAACCAATTGCAATATGTAATTCTTTTTGTTTTTTAAATTTTTATTTTATTTAAAGATTTTATTTATTTATTCATGAGAGACACACAGAGAGGCAGAGACATATGCAGAGGGAAGAGAAGCAAGCTCCATGCAGGAGCCCGATGTGGGACTCGATCCTGGAACTCCAGGATCACACCCTGAGCCAAGGACAGATGCTCAACCACTGAGCCACCCAGGCATCCCTTAAAAATTTTATTTTTAAGTAATCTCTATGCCCAATGTAGGGCCTGAACTCACAATCCCCAAATCAAGAGTTGCATGCTCCACTGACTAAGCCAGCCAGATGCCCCAATATATAATTCCTAATTGGGTGAAAAAAGGTACAAAAGGTATTTTAGGGAAAAATTTTAATATAGACTGTATATTAGGAAATATTATTGCATGATGTGAATCTGAGGTAGATTCATAAGAGTAACTGTAGTGGTACAGGAGAATATACATATGCTCAGAAGATAATGCTGGGGGAAAAATGTGTAAATCACATGTACATACACAGAGAGATAAAGCAAATGTTATAAAATGATTAGATAAATAGGTGAAGGGTATTTGGGTATTCACTGTATTTGTCCTTCAACTTTTCAAGTGGTCTGAAATTCTTCAAAATTACAAATGGAAAAAAAAATTACAAATTGGAGGTATTAAAAGAACAGAACAAAACAAAGGCAAGGAGTATTCAATTTAATTCTAAATAGAGGACAAGAAAAATATACATAAAAACATTAATAAAACTAAAATATTAATAAAATACACACATTTTCAAAATATCCCAGCTCATGAAAAAAATATGTAGTTTTAGTTTTACCACACGCTGTCTACACATGTATACATTTGTAAAAGTGGAGGAAACCTTCTAGAAAAATAATATTATCAGCTTTTACATAGAGATGAAAGTAGGCAGAGAGACTGGCAGGTGAAACTATATTAACTACTAAAAAAAATAATAATAAAATAAATAAATTATTGATTTTTAAAAAAGTAATCTCTACATCCAATGTGGGGCTCAGACTCACAACCCCAAGATTAATAGTTGCATGCTCCAATTAAGCGTGCTCTTCCACTCCACTCCACTGATTGATTTAAATAGTGGCTTGATCCCCAACTTTATTGAATACCCTAAACATGACCAAAAACACTCACTTTTTAGGAGAAGATAATCACTAGTCACCTTTTTAGGGAAGTAAAACCCATAAGGGAAAAAAGAAGCCAGGGATGCCTGGCTGGCTCAGTTGATAGAGCATGAGACTCTTGATCTCAGGGTCATAAGTTCGATCCCCACAGTGGGCACAGAGATTACTCATTAAAAAAGAAAAGAAGGGCAGCCCAGGTGGCTCAGCGGTTTAGCGCCGCCTTTAGCTCAGGGCACGATGCTGGAGACCCGGGATCGAGTTCCACGTCGGGCTCCCTGCATGGAGCCTGCTTCTCTCTCTGCCTGTGTCTCAGCCTCTCTCGCTCTCTCTCTGTGTCTCTCACGAATAAATAAATAAAATCTTTAAAAAAAAGAAAAAGAAAAAAGAGAAAAAAGGAGTTAAAAATGTACACTTACTTCTTCAATTATATTGTTGATTTCAGGTGCTGCCTTATTTGCTCGTTTCTTAATCTGTCTTTTTGCTTTGTTTACATCTTTTTCAACTCTCTTCCAGTCAATCTGCACATAGCCGCTGTGACTGGCAATCTGCAAAAATATAATAAAAATGGTTAATTCTAAACCAACTAGGTTGTTGACAAATCTATCACCAAATATATGGACATTTAGATTTCAAGAAATCTATGAAATTTATAGGTAAGATATCACAATTTACTCATTTAACAAATACTGAGTGTCTACTCTGTGCCAGGCATTATTCTAGGCCCCCCAAACTACAGCCAACAGAGAGCTCTGCATCCATAAGGGAAAAAAAGATATTAAGCATAATTAATTACTTAGATGTGATGAACACTACGTTAAGAAATGTATAGTAGTACATGATGGGAAGATTCCAAAAACTGTATTATAACTGTGTTATAATTCTATCAGAACATTTGGAATTTGGGAATTAGCTAAAAAGACAAAGAGACAATCCAAATTATACAGCTAGTTAAAAAGTACCTCTTAATTAAACAGATGTTTAATTACAAGGGATCAGAAGCCAATCAGCTATTAGGTCACTAAACAAATCTAAAGTAGCTTGATAAAGGCTCTTTACTAACTCTGACTCTTTACTTAAATTAAGAATATTTTCTGGTAATCGCTTCCAAAAGTGGAATACAAAAGAAATATGCTCTACACAAGTTTCAAGCCATAAGTCCTTTTAATAAAACACTATAGCTAAATGCTTATTAACTATGGTATAAGCATATGGTATAGCCGAGACACTACAAAATCTGAACAGGAATAAAGCATGGTATGGGAGCCAGTACCATAAATTAGTCTCTCTTAATAATAAAATCAAAAAGTAAAGAATCACATTAGTAGTAAACAATTAAGCCATGTACACCATTACAAATCTCTTCTATCATGCTTATGCTTTCTTTGTTAACTTTGTAAGGCATCACTTGACTCTGAATCACACATAAAATACTTCAAATAATAAAAGTATCTGATTTTATAGAAGTAGGTTGACTAAGAATCTTAAGTTCCATTCTCACTATGAATGACTCCACAGAAGAATTTATCTGCATTCCTTCCTGTATTTATTTACCTATTATCACTTCAAACTCCAGCCTTAGCTAAACAGTATGGTGATCAAATCAAATGGCAAGGGAAAGCTCTTCCTGGCAGTCCCTGACAGAGCAATTTGGGTCACAGGCATGGAGGTGATGATGAACCTTAGGGACCGTCCTGTACGTAGCAACTATAAACTCTGGCTAAAACACAGGGGCTCCAAAATTAACAAAAGTGAGCAGGTTTCAAGGGGAGTTAAAACTTTTAAGAAAGGAGCAATGTAAAGTGAGTTGCCCATTTTTCTGGTTTTATCCTGAGGGCAGGATGCACTTGTAGGATGGCTAAAATTTTAATAGAAAACATGCCATCTTTTGGCCCAAAGAACCAGATGACATAGTCTATGACAGTAACAGCTGCCAGAAATGAGAAAGCCACATAAGGGGAGCCCCAAATTCTATGTGTAAGCTCTATCCAAGTCTTAAACCACACATTCATGGGGCAGAGCCATGCATTCCGGCCGAGGCTAAAAGAAATGAACTGATATTTAAGCTGCTACCCACTAAAGGTGAAACAGAGCTTACAATTTGAGTCTAACCAAGTTAATTGCCTGCGAAAATCAATATATCAACACTCTTTAGAGGAGAAAGACAGTATCCAGAGTTTCCACAACATAACATTCCCAATGCCCAGGATAAAATCCAAACTTACTTGATATAGGATAAAACAGGAAAATGTGGCCTAGTCTAAAAAGAAAATCAACAGATGCCAACGTTAAGATGACCCAGTTGTTGGAATTATAGGGACTTTAAAACAGCTATTACAACTATGCTCAAAAGGAAAAGGAAATTCCACTTGTAATCAATGAAAACACAAGTAATCTCACCAGAGATCTAGAAAATATAAAAATAACCAAATGAAAATCCTAGCATTAGAAAATACAGTAGTTGAGGGGGATCCCTGGGTGGCGCAGCGGTTTGGCGCCTGCCTTTGGCCCAGGACGCGATCCTGGAGACCCGGGATCGAATCCCACATCAGGCTCCCGGTGCATGGAGCCTGCTTCTCCCTCTGCCTATGTCTCTGCCTCTCTCTCTCTCTCTGTGACTATCATAAATTAAAAAAAAAAAAAAAGAAAATACAGTAGTTGAAATAAAATTTTTGGAAAAGGCTTATTGTCAAAAGGTAGATGACGGAAAAAAAGAATCCGTGAACTCAAAACTAGATCACTTAAAATTATACACTTTGAAAAAAAATTGAAAAAATAAGTGAACAAAACCTCAGGACATTATCAAAAAGCCTAACATACACATAAGAAGGGTCATATTCAGCAAGAAAAGAGAAAAAGAATAGGAAGAAACAAATCTTTACAGAAATAATGGGCAAAGCCTTCCCAAACATGGTTAGACATATAAATTCACAGAATCAAGCTCAATGAACTCCAGGTTATGACCTAACACCATTATGAAGTAACAATACTCCGGTGACATGGAATGGGAGGGGACAGAGGAACATAAAGTATGCAAATGTGAGGGATGGGCAGTGGGCAAGAAAAGTTCAATAAATGATAAGGTCTCATAGTCCATAACACAAAGCCAACAGTTATTACTCCAAACGGAAAGATCAAGAAATAGCCAATTAACTTGTTTAGGAAAAAGTAAATAAATACCTTGAGAATCAGCTAAGAGTTCACATAGTTGCCTCAAGGGAGGTAGAAAATGGGGAAGGTGATAACGAGGGTGGCAGAGGATTACTCTAACCTATAATAAGCCCTGTACGCGTATTTGGCCCTTTGAATTAGGGGCATATACAACTCCAAAAAAAAATAAAAATAAAAATAAAAACAAAATTTTAAAGACTTATATTCCACTGTCTATTTTAAGATGGCAGTGTGCTAAATATCTACTGGAAAACACTTAACACTGAGTTACTAGAAAAGCTTTAAGTTCTAAGTAAATACATTTTCATCTTTAAAGTAAGGGTAAAAAAAATATGGTAGTGGGCCTAAAGAACAATGGGCAATTAGCCTGAAAGCCATGTGTTACTTATTTCCTGTCAGTTTCCCTCTAGTAGATTTTCAAGGTAAGTCATATTTGGGGAGGCGGTGGTGGGAGGAGGGGCTGGTTTAAGGCAGATAGGTCCCATATTCTTCTGATTAGTGACTTCAAAGAATGTGGAGACCAGGTACAGCAAAGGAGAAGGTGGCAATGGCAAAATGTGAATCTGAATGGTGTGTATTGAGCAGATCGAAATGGACTTCTGCAAAACTAACGGAGTGGACTGAAATGTAGTAATTGTCTTCATTCAATGAGTATTTTTGGAAACTGCTCCAATCCAGTACCCTTTCCCACTAAACAGAAATGACAAACTTGAGTTTTCAAAATAGCTACAGAATTAAATATGTTCTTCACTCTATATAAACAAATCAAAAGCAGCTTCAATATAATTGTCTTTTGTACAAAGGCTGCCATGTTCATCCAAAGGCCTAAATTTGATATTAACCACTTTCCTTTTTACCTCTTACCACAAGCAGTAGGCAATGACCCCTCATAATGCCACCAACAGAAAGAAAATATGTTTTTTAAAAAGCTGTTTGGTAAACAACTCAAAAATTTGTGCTTAACACATATGAACCCAGTCCCTTTGTACTTCAGGCAATGACACTGGTTATTACATGATCAATGGCTTTGGTGCTGAAGTCTAATTTTGGTTGCTATGAACATCAATCATTTAAAAAATCTGGTAGGACAGACCGTTCTCTGTATCTTCAATATTGCTGCTAACATTCATTCCCAGAGATTTTCAATTTTGGGATTTACTGTGTTTGATCTTCAGGGAAAGATATTTTTGGAAAAATATATGCCAAACAGACATGAATGCCAGACAATATCCTGATAAACATCCTGTAACCACAAAGCATTTTTAAACCTTATACTTAGAGGAACATGAACAAAACTAAAGTTTCAAATCCCCCTGCCTCAGAAATAGGATTATGGATGATTTTTTTAAACCCAATTTTCCACTTTTTATATTATTATAGTTCCCTAGTTGTAAAAAAACGATGTTAGAAATTGCTAAGAGTGGGCAGGCCCATGTGGCTCAGTGGTTTAGTGGCATCTTCAGCCGAGGGTGTGATACTGAAGACCTGGGATGGAGTTCCACGTCGGGCTTCCTGCATGGAGCCTGCTTCTCCCTCTGCCTATGTCTCTGCCTCTCTTTCTCTGTGTGTCTTTCATGAATAAATAAATAAAATCTTCAAAAAAAAAAGAGAGAGAGAGAGAAAGAAATTGCTAACAGCAATTTCCTCAGGGAAGGAAAACTGCATGGCTAGGAAATGGAGAAAAGAAAGAGACCTTTTGAATTTTACATATTGTATGAAATTTAAATATAAATTTAAAACGGTTAGGATGAAAAGGTTATATTAGGGATGAAATGTTTATTTTGCTGAAGGGATGTTTTAAGGGAAATTTGGATATGTAATAAAAAAAATGAGGCACTTCAAACTTCAATAGTTGTCTTTTTTTACTGGGATCAAACTAGGTTTATAAAATGTAGACGTATTAAAACTTGTCTTTCATGACAGATGTCAGCTTTCAAAATTCACTTTAGTTTTTCCATAAACTGATATCGAAAAGAAAAATCTCATCTTCTATTAAAATAGACCGGAATGCATGGCTAAACCTGACTTTCTCAGTTCCCGGGGGATACACATGTAAGCAGAGGCAAGGACCTAAGGCTCCGACATACCTGAAGAAGAAGAAAACCACCACCTACTGCAGTCGCTGCAAGCTTTCCAACTTTCTGGAACAAAAATCCTGCACACCTTTAATGAAAGAAATGACAAAAATGAGAACAACCAATGATGTACTAAACTCTCTCTCTTCTTTTCATTGCTTTCTAAATAAAATCTTAATTTCTTCCCATTTCTTTTGATCATACCCCTTATCCACTCAGAAACCCTCAGAGTTTCTCTTGTTTTAAAGGCAGGTCAAAAGTGGGCGGCTTAGGGGAGCCCAGGTGGCTCAGCGGTTTAGCACCGCCTTCAGCACAGGGTGTGATCCTGGAGACCTGGGATCGAGTCCCGTGTCAGGCTCCCTGCATGGAGCCTGCTTCTCCCTCTGCCTGTGTCTCTGCCTCTTTCTCTCTCATGAATAAATAAATAAAATCTTTAAAAAAAAAAAAGTGGGCGGCTTAGTCCGTGAAGCATCTGCCTCTGCCTTCGGCTCAGGTCATGACCCCAGGGCTGGGAGTCAGCTTCTCCCTCTCCCTCTGCAGTTCCCCCTGCTTGTGCTCTCTGGCTCTCGCTCTCTGTCCAAATACATAAATAAAATCTTTAAAAAAATTGCACAATCATCTAGCATGCCTGACTGGCTGTCAGTAGAACATGCAACCCTTGATCTTACTTGATCTTATTAGCAGCATCATAAATTCAAGCTCCATGTTGGGCCTAGAGCTTACTTAAAAAAAAAAAAAAAGCACAATCTAAACTGTGAGATGCTTCAAAATGAGGGATGGAGAGAAGAGGAGGGGAATTTTTTTTTTTAAGATTTTATTTATTTATTCATGGGAGACAGAGAGAGAGAGAGAGAAAAAGAGAGAGGCAGAGACACAGGCAGAGGGAGAAGCAGGCTCCATGGAGGGAACCTGATGTGGGACTCCAGGATCACGCCCTGGACCGAAGGCGGGCGCTAAACTGCTGAGCCACCCAGGTATCCTGGAGGAGGGGAATTTATAGGAAAAAAGATTGGCTACTGAAATAATGTTGAGTACTCAGGGCCTCATTATACCCTTCCTTCTACATTTGTTTAAGTTGAAATTCTCTGTAATAAAAGTGATTTGTTTTTTCTTAATGCAGTCAAGATGCTCCATACACCTGGCCAATCCCCACTGTAACTAAACCTTTGGCTCCAATCCCATTAGTTTCCAAACAGGTTATCACACTGCTCAAGCTATTAATCTTCCTGCTTCTAGGGGTTTCTACCTAACTCTGCCCATCTGAAGCTTTTCTACCCTTTGAGGTCCAGCTGAAGTTCCACCTTCATGACATTTAAGCCCACATTTCTCATTGCTTCCTTACCTATATCTATCTCTAATTAAACCCATTTTGTTTCATCTATCCTGTAAGAACGTCAGTCCATACTTCTTTTGTGATTCTTTCAGTGAGCTCATATTCCCTTAACTATTCCAGATTCATACTGTGCAAAAGAATCCCAGATTTCTAACTGTAGCCTCCTGTACTGAATTGAACAGTGCCCGCCAACCCCCAATTCATGTCCTTCCCAGAATCTCAGAATGTGCCTTTATTTGGAATAAGGGTCCCTGAGGATGTAATTAGTTAGGATGAGGCCATACTGCAATAGGGTGGGCCTTAAATCCAGTATGACTTAATCTAATACGTCACAGAGACACACAGAAGGAAGACAGCCATGTGATGGCACAGGCAGAGATTGGAGTGATATGTCTACAAGCCAAGGAATGCCAGGGTTTGCTGCCAACCACCAGAAGCTAGGAGCAGATTTTTCCCTCTGAGCCTCCAAGAAGGAACCAACTGGGCTGACACCTTTCAGATTTCTGGCCTCCAGACCCATGAGAATAAATCTTTTGTCTTAAGCCACCTAGTTGTGGTACTTTGTTATGATAGCCCTAGGAAACTAATACACCTTCATAAATGGAAAATTTACATTTCCATGGGCTTCTCAGGCACACAGGATGACATATTCAAAATGCCCCAAAGGCAAAAATCATCTTTCCAACCAAATCAACTGTTGCTAAGGTCCCAAATGTAAGTGACAGCACCATTCTCTAGGTTTGCCCCCTCAAGTTCATCTCAGACACTGCCTTCTTCATCACCTTTGGGGTCCAACTGATTGCCAATTCTATATATTCTATTTCCAAAACATTCTTTGACTCTTCTTTCCGTTCTCAAGGACATCATTAATTTGCTTCCAGACCACTAAGGGTCCTCTAGCTAGTCTTCACACCTCCCATCTCTCCTAGCAATCATCCATCCTGATATGTCTTATCATCAAAAACCTATAACTACCTAGAGCTGCATATAATCTCTTTAGCCTCCCATGCATATCCTGAACCTGATATGATTCTCCTTAATGCATTCCACAATATTATTACAGAGTTCAGAGTCTGCAATGTTAACTGGTTAGGTTAATGCCTATTAACCATTCCTCCTTAACACATGCCACGAGAGTACATCAGTTTTCTACCTTAAGAAAATTGCAAAAATTTACTGCACTGAGTCTAAAGTCATTGCAACAAACCACTCCAAATATTGGAGTCCTATTACACAGCTCCTGAGCTGACGACACCTGGCTATAACCCAAACATACGTATTACTATAAAGACCACAGTCGCCAGTAGGGGAGTCAGCAACAATGGCTCTGATGGGGGAGGGGGGGGCAGCAGCCAAGTCACAAGTACATCCCAGAGACCAAGTCTCACAAGCATGTCTATCCTTTGCTTAACAGCATGAGCCACCAAAATTAAGCTACTAACTTCCCCTGCTCTGTCTCTAGGCTTTCCAAGCAAACTTCTGCCAATTATGGGGCTTCTCACCAAGTCTGACCTACAAGGAGAATGCACACAATGTGATAATTCTATTGCTTAATTATTCTTTTAGTGTCTTTTAAGATGGGGCTTTAGGCCCAGACTACCACTACCAATCAGCCATGGCACCAATGTGTAAGCTTATGTGAGCAGAGCACCAGACTCCATTATGGAGGATCAAGGTACAAACTATCTGTGAAGGATCAACTGAATAACCAGGGCCCTGACCAGGCATCTCTCTTCTAGTTGCAGGTCTTTTCATAAGCAGCATTAATAAGCACACATCATGGAGAAATACTGTACCTTTGCATCACAGAATCTTCACAATGCATGTTTCTACCATAAAATAGCATTTACAAAAAGGCATAAAGGAATGAACCATTGTTCTAAGGTACATGTAAAACACAAATAAAAAAGCTTAACGCTTATCAAGTTTAAATATGTAAATATTTAATGTAAGATAAATTTAACCTAGAACTAAGGGAAAAAAACGATTATTCACAAGCTAAGCACTCCCACAAACGTCAAAAATTCTCCACGATCATGAACATTTTCAAGATAAAGGGCCATACTTGTTTGACCCTTGTTATTTGGCTAATCTTTTATTCCAAGAATAACAACTTGATCTACAGTAGCAATCATGTCATCATGCAGCCCAAAACATTAATTGGTTAGTTAGGTTAATGCTTAACTGTTTCTCCTTAATGCATTCCACAATATTATTACAGAGTAAGCAATTGGTCCTTCAATTCCAACTCTTCTTCAAAGTATTATAATAATCCAAATAAGTCCACAAAAATCAACAGAACCATTTGATTCACAATAATTTTCATTGAGAATTTTACATGGCTTTCTACAGGGCTGACAATCCTAGAGACCAATTCTACTGTGGGAGTCCTCAAAGGTCTTTCCAGTTGTTAGCATTGCACAAGTAAAAATTATTTACATATAATTAGCCCTCAGATGGATCTTCCTTTTTACCCACTCTGACTGAATCAGATACACTACATTTGCTAAATGTGAGAAGGTGGAAAGTACATAATCAAAGGAAGGGAGAGGAGGGACCAGGGGAACAAGTGGTGGGCATGGGGAAGCCAATCACCAAAACCACTGTCTCCAGACTATATCACACCAATCATATCACAGAGAAAAGCCTCAAGGTAGGGGATCCCTGGGTGGCTCAGCGGTTAAGCATCTGCCTTTGGCTCAGGGTGTGATCCTGGAGTCCCGGGATTGAATCCCACATAGGGCTCCCTGCATGGAGCCTTCTCCCTCTGCCTGTGTCTCTGCCTCTCTCTCTCTCTCTCTCTGCCTCTCATGAATAAATAAATAAAATCTTTTTAAAAAAAAAAAGCCTCAAGGTAGAGCTCTTCTGGGATTAACAGTGTAAAACCACTGAATGCGCTCAGTAACTGGCCTGTTTACGGGAAGGGCAGCAGCAAGGCTGCCAATGAAATCTAATGAAAAAGATGTTGTTCTCACCAGCCAGTCACTCCACCCATTACAATCTGGGTGGCTACCGAGTATTTTTCAACCATAGGTCCGGAACTGTGGCCAAACACTCGATTCCACCAATGGTGTCTTCTTGCATACTCAGTTAAATCCAACACTTCGTAAGACTCGTCATCGCTTTCATACTCTTCAAAATACAAAATGGAAAAAATAAATTTAGAGTTAACCAAAAGTCAGAAAGGTCCTTACATTTTTTAAAAATCTGTCATTAACTGTTACTTTTTGGCCTACAGCTAAAAATGCCCAGATGGAAACCTTAGGTTGTTAAACCCCACACCTGAGACTAGGGCCTCAAGAGTAAAAGGGCCTAGCATCTCCCTTCCAAAGGCCCAGGGACCAGCCTAGAGGCCGGAGCCACAGCCACGTCAGAGTTACACAGAAGTGAGGGGTCGCCTCCCCAAATGGCAGTAAGGTCAGGTCAGACTTTCACGGCATAAACGGTCGCCCCCAAATCTCAGTCGGGTCAGGGCCCGAGCTAGAGATCCATTTTCATCAGTGGGACAAAGAGGGGGTCCTCCACTGACAGAAGCGGTTAGGGGCCTGGCAAGATGAAATCACTTCAGTAATTCATCAGAAAGGCCAAAAAGCACGTCTGAAGATGGAAATGAAGGGCCAGAGGGGAAGGTAAGGCAGGAAGCAGGGCTGTGTTGGGGTCGGGGGTCGCTCTCCGCCAGAGTTCGGCCGTAAGAGGAGGGAGTCTAGTTCTAAAGGGGGTGCCTCCAAAAAAGAGCCCCTAGAGCCCTGGGGCAGGGGAAGAAGAGGCGCCCCCGGGGGCAAGGTCGAGAGCTGTGAGCCACGTCCGAGATACTACTTCGGGCCCCGGCCGCTCACCTTGGGGAGGGGGGTTCCGGGTCGCCATGATACCGCCGGCGGCCTGCTCTGAAGGTGGTCCCCACCCGCCCTCCTCTCCCCACTACTTTAAGAGACCTTCTAGGCCCAGGTGAAAGTCTATGGTCTCTTTTTTCCTCCTCCCCTTTCAGGCGCGTTGTGCCGTCCCCGCCCCTCCTCTCAGCGCAGGATTTTCCGCGCAAGCGCAAGCCTCCGGGTGGGAAGCGTGGGGGAGCGAGGGGAGCCGCCGCGCGAGGGCTTGTGGGAAGTGTAGTCCGTTGCCCTCCGCAATCCTCGCTTCCCACCCCACCCCCATCGCTTCTAGAATCTCAGGAAGTAAATTTTGTGATTCTGTTTTAAAGAGCCTCAAGGCTGGAGGAGAGGCGGCGTCACATGATGATATAAAGCGAAAAGCAGCTTGGCATGCTCAACACTGTACCAGAATGCAAGCGCCTGAGAAAAAAGGCTTTTAAAGGGAGATAAGAGAAACCGTGTTTCAAACCGCACTTTTTGTACGGAGGCAAGGGCACCACAACAGATGGAAAATTTTTGTAACGTGCTGCTGCTGGGAACGGGAACCTGTTTATCCGCTCCCTCTCCACATGTTTCCTGCCAGGAACCCAAGGGAAGTAGAGAAAGGCCTAGGGACTGACCTGACACGATGTTCAAGAGGACATAACTTTTTTTTTTTTAGCATCATTTTTATTATTTAAATCTGACAGAGGAACGAGGTCAGGCTCTTCACCCAGAAGCTCCACCAGATTCGAAAACCGTGTTGATTACCAAGCGGCTAACTCAGGTTCATATAAACCGGTCCCTAAACCTGTTTCGAACTTGCAGGACACCTGCATTTGCTGTACAATTAAAAAAAAAGCCCTCTCTGCACTTGTTTTAATGGAAAAAAACAAGGAATTCAGGTATAGGTCGTGTAGGGGCGCAGGGCAAGCTGCCCCCAAATGTACTGCGCTGGCATATTGATTATTTTGAATTGAATCAACCCAGGAAACAACCTGGTACAAGTACACTCAGACCCTTTGTCCCCCACTGAAAGCAGGAAATAAATTTCCCGTGTGAAAAATGCCCTCCCTGTACTAAGCAAAAAGACATCCTTATCACCAGAGATAGGAACTTTAAAGTGGAGAAAGCTGGAGAAACGAGCCTTGTTATTTATTTTTTTTTCCTAATCTACTACCTCACTCAGCCCAAATTCTGTTCAGAATGCCTTACTAACTAAAGCTCCCAAATCCCTATTTTCTCTATCCTGTCAATTCCTCAGGAATTTCTTGTCTCTGTCTAAAATATATCAAAACTGCCAGCCTTGGTCATTTCTTAGGGTCTCAATTTCATTATTGGACTTCCATGCACACGTAATAAAACTTTTTTTTTAACCTCCTGTTCACTTGTCTCCTATGAATTCAACTCCTAAACCAGCTAGAAGCAGCCTAAGGGGAACGAAGGAAATTTCTCCCTCCAGTACAGTTGCCTCACTTAAAATATTGACTTGCATAATTGCACTGAGTTTTTCGAATCCTGATGCTTTAAATGCAAGGGTTGATTTGCCAAAGCTCCTCAGCCCGTGGCTCCCAAAATTCAATTGCAAGCTGGAGATGTTAGCCTTCAAAAACAGTTACTTTGCAGAAGGTTCCACCTTTCAGAAAGAAAACAACTTTAAGGCTTTCTTCCTTTCTTCAGATGTTCTCTCTGGAAGATTTTTCCTCTCCTAATGAGGTGCTAACAAACTATGAGGAGCCACTGAAAGAAGATGGAAAAAACAAAGGAAAATCACAAATGGGAAGAGCAAAATGGAGCATTGACTGGACCAGTGATGTCCAAGTGACACTTTGACATAGTTCTAGCAATATCTGCCAACTACAGAAAGAAGCCACTTTCCTGTTAAAGCAATGTGTTTAGAATCAAACAGTTATGGGTACACCTGGGGGGTGCAATTGGTTAAGCGTCGGACTCTTGGTTTTGGCTCAGGTCATGATCTCCGGGTCATGAGATTGAGTTCTGCATCAGGCTCCAAGCTGAGCATGGAATCTGTTTGGGGTTCTCTCTCCCTCTCCTTCTGCCCCTTTCCCCGCCTCAAAATAAATAAATCTTAAAAAGATAAAAAAAATCAAATGGTTATGGAGAAATTAGGGAGAAAATGGAAACAAAACACTGCCCTTAAGATTCCAAAGAGTAGGCTTTTGTATCCAAAATGTGTCCAAAGTATATCCAGAAGTAAATTAAGAGGCAATCTTTTTTTCTCCAAAGGTCCTGGGGGCTGAGAAGGAGCTTCTTAATGCTCCTTCCTTCTTTCTTGTAGTGACATATACTCTTGCCATTACCTTAGGAAAGTTGCTTGTAGGATATATTTTTCTAGTGTGAGTTTTTTCTTCCCACTAGCAAAAAAGCTGTCATTTTGTTGGCTCAATGACAAATGGTCTAATGTGTGAGTTATATACACAGACTTTAAAAAGTGCTATGATTCTCCTGATGGGTTCGAGGGGGTGATTTAAAAAAAAATTCTTGTTTTAAAGAGTATTTTTTTAAATCTGGCAATAATAAACACTTTCATTTTGAACACTTGATATCCTATCTTCAGCTATACCAAAACATAATCGGAGGAGTCCCCAGCTTTTCAATGGGTAGTGTTCCAAAAGTTCATTAGTAATTGATTTGAAATCGAGAACATTTTCTATTTAATCTATAATGAAGCTGTAAGGAAACCCTTCCTGATCTCCACCTTTCCTCATTGGCTTTGGAAACCTTATTTATTAAAAACAATGTAGTCAATACTGAGAAAAACAAAAAGCAGGCAAAACAACTAACAGAAGAACACTTCGCATACCCTGGGCAAGCTAATCTCCCCCGTTGGCTACAACTGTCACTCCCTTGGAAGATATCTACATTTTGGAATGATCTACATATTTGGCTAGTCTAAAACACACTATCTTGGGACGCCTGGGTGGCTCAGTAGTTGAGCGTCTGCCTTCGGCTCAGGTCATAATCCTGGGGTCCTGGGATCGAATCCTGCATTGGGATCCCTGCAGGGAACCTGTTTCTCCCTCTGCCTATGTCTCTGCCTCTCTGTGTCTCTCATGAATAAATAAAATCTTAAAATAAATAAATAAATAAATCACACTATCTTACCCAAAGGGGTATCTACAACAAATTCAAAGTCACTCTCCTTTTCGCTTCACTTTTCTCCCACAGTTAAGCAGTTATTTGTTCTGTACTTATACCACCCACGCTTTGGCATCTATCCTCATCTTGATGTTCTTTAGAGCATTGCAATGGCCTCTCAACTGGCTTCTTCCTGTGTTGTCTTCCTTTCCCAATCCCACGCCAATCCAATCTGTCTTTAGATCTTCCCTTCTCTACTTATATACTTGCAACAACTGCCCATAAAAAGATAAAGTCTAAACTTCTCAAGGCATACTTCAGGTGTGGCAAATATTTTCTGCAAAGGGCCAGTTGGTAAATAGTTTAGGCCTTGCTAGTTATGTATCATCTTTGTCACATATTTTTTTTTGACTTTTTAAAGAATCCTTTAAAAATGTAAAAATCAGGGGTACCTGTCTGGTTTAGTCGGTAGAGCATGAGACTCTTGATCTCAGGGTCATGAGTTCAAGCCCTATGTTGGGCCTAGAGCTTCCTTTAAAAAAAATAAAGTAAAATTAAAATGTAAAAATCTTTCTCAGCTCATAGACTCTTGGGGTCAATTTGGCTTGAGGTTGTAGTTTGCTGACCGCTGGCCTCCAGGACCCTTTACATTTTGGACCTAAGTTAGCTCTCTGGTCTCCAACTACTCCTTGCTCCAACTTTCCTCCTCTTCTAAGTCCAATGAACTTGTTTTCTGAATACATGTTGCTTTTTCCAACCTTCCTGACTTGATCCATGCTCTTGCTCTCTCCAAAAGCAATGTCTCCCTTTTCTGCCAACAACATACAGACATATATTAAGATACATCTAAAAAGTGGGATACCTGGGTGGCTCAGCGGTTGAATGTCTGCCTTCGGCTCAGGGCGTGATCTTGGGGTCCTGAGTTTGAGTCCCACATCAGGTTCCCCATGGGGAGCCTGCTTCTCTCTCTGCCTATGTCTTGCTTCCCTCTCTATGTCTTTCATGAATAAATAAATAAAATCTTTAAAAAAAGATATATCTAAAAAGTAACTTACAGTTTTTACTCCATTTCCCCCCTTCTTTATGATCCTTATGAATTTATAGCAGTTTAGCATTTCAATTAAACATTTGGATGAACTTCAGGGTCACCCGGATTTGGGTTCAAAATCCAGTTCTGTCCTTCCTAGTTTCATCTTTGGAAAATGGTTTCAGCCTTCCTAAGCTTCAGGTTCCTCCTATAAAAAAAATGTAGAAAGATTATTTATTGTGAAATTATTATGAAAATAAGATAATGAAATCAAGCATGTAGAGGGCTTGATGCATGGTCCATCATGAATATTCATTAAAGATTAGCTTTTATTGTCAGTCATTTATTCATTCACTAAATATTTATTAAGCTCTTACAAAGTGCTAGGCAGTGTGCTAGGTACTATCAGGGATAGATCAGTCAACAAGATGGATCAGATCTTGGTCTTCACGGATTTACAGCAAGAAAGTAAAACAGCTAAACACAGATTGTAATTAGTGCAAGGAAAGAAATGTAAAGGGCATAAGGCCTGACATGAATAATCAATAATCTACTGGGAGTATAATGGATTAAATCTTAAATTTAACTTAGATGTGTCTTCTAAGCTTTTTGGGCCTTCTTTACAAACTAAGTATTAGGTTTCTAAACTTTCTTCCAACTCTCAATTCTATATGTAATATCCCATAGTCAATTCTGTTTTTTTCCACATTCCTATCCAAACTATCAATATTAGTGAGAATTTTATATCTACAAGCTGCCCTCCTAAGGTTCCCGTGAGAGACTGAATCAGAGTCGCCAAATTCATATGTTGAAATCCTAACATCTAATGTGACTATATTTGGAGATAGGGCTTTTAAAGGATGTGCCCCTAAGGGTGGGACCCTAATTCAATAGGACTGGTGTCCTTATAAGAAGGAAAAGAAACACCAGATAGAGTACCCACCACCACTATCACCACCACTACCACCACAACCAAGGCAGCCATATACA